TTTATTTTTAAGGATTGATCAATTGTCAATATAATCTAAAATAAAAGCAATTAAGTTTAATATAATATTTTTTAATTTATATAGTATAAAATTAAAATAAATTTACTTGAAAAAATAAAGAAATTTCAGCGGATTCATCAGCTAGATCATAACAAAAAAATAGTTTATTATGTAAAACTAGCTGTTCTGTTCTTTCTTGTAAAAATTCCTAAACAGTAATAATACAATCTTGCAGTTCACTAGCCAATTGTGAAGATTTTTCTGCAGCTTTACGAATTTCTTCAAGAGTATTTACTTTATTAAATAAAGTTTCCATGTTTTCTGACATTGTTTTGCGAACTAAAGCTACTTCCTGTAATGCTAAATTCAGAATTGACATAATTCTCTCAGCGGGATTATTCCAACTTTGATAAGGTGTTGTTCTTAATGCTATAAGCATATCAAAATCTCCTTTAAGAAATAGACAAATTAAGGATATTTGAACTGATCTATATGTAACTCGATGGTTAAGACCTCTATCTGTATAAAGACAGAGAATCAGAGAAACTAAAGATTAATAATATAAGAAAATAACTTTAAAGAATTCTGTTGCATGTCTAATATCACTACTTGGTTGAAAGATGGTATTTTTAAAAAAAACAAAAACTTTTCCACTGTAAAATTATTCTTCAATACTTCTGGGAATTTCACAAAAAAAGATAACTGAGGCCTTAAACTCAACTTTGTAAAATCATGATCATAAGCAACAAGATTTGCATCCTGTAAAACCATAGATCTTTTATTACGCATCCCAGTTGATGTGGCAATACTTTCTCCAATTGGAACTTTGTGTTTGTTATCAACACAAATAAAAGAAACATAATCTTAGAAAAGAATAGCAAATTCACGTAAATATCGAAAATAATAAGCATAATAGTGTGAATCAGGATGATTCTTACGTAAGAGTCGAGTTTATACTTTAAAAATTATTTTAAATTGGCCAGTGTAATTAATTGCCTTAGCAGCAGTTGAATTGGTAGGTGAAAATTGTACTCGAATCCATTCTTCACAAGGAATATTAATTTGAAAAGAAAGTGGACTTTTATATTTATTTTCAAGTTTTTGAATTATACAATCATGAAGATCTCGAATAGATATTGCTATTGGTTTATATAAAAGACTGTAATAGTGACGATCATCTATTGCAGCATTTATCTAAATATTAAAATAGCATTTAGATAATTAATTGTTGATATATATAGTAAATTTTGATATTACCTCATTAAAATATGCATCTAGTTCATTCCAAAAGTGATCAAACTTAGTTCCTTTAAAATCATTATTAATTCTCATATCGACAATAATTGAGGGATCTTCAAGTAATAACATCATTTTTAATCTTTCTTCAAGTTCTTTACTAATAGTATTGTTAGTTATAACAGCATCACCTATTAGATCATAATAAAGAACTCTCAAAATTGCTGGTGTAATAGTTTTTACCAATGAATACTATATTGAATGCATTGTATTAATTATTATTATTTTAATATTTTAAAAAATTAAATAAAAGATCATGAACTCTTACTTTATAAAGGATATTCTTACGCATTTGTCTAGTAAAATACTTAAGTAATAATCCCTAAATACTTGCCATTGTTTGTGCTAATTTCATTTTATTTCTATCATCTGGAGAAGCTGGAACCCCATATATAATTTAAAGTTCCTAAATAATTACCTTGATGATATCGATAAATAGTTACAGGAATATTGAGTTGTAAATTTTTAATATAATCATATCGTTTAAATGCATCATTTGGTAAATAATGCTTCATATTTATAAATTCATATTTATCTTTAGAGCTTAAAGCATTTGCCAACTCTTCATAAATTTCTTTAATTATATCATTAGAATCAGCATCAATAGTATATACTTCTAAATTTACACTAGGATCTCTAACTGGTATACCACTATAATGAATTTCATGTATATGATCATTGGCTTTTTTCAAAAAATTTGTATACTGATCAACTATTGTAATTAAAGCAAGAACTTGTTCAATTACTAATTTCCAAATTACTCCACAAGCCCAAGGAATAGATGTTGATAATGTTAAGGATTTTGTAAGATCAGTAAGTATAGTATAAGCTAGTTATTGCTTTTTATGTTTTCCTTCAAAATAAAAACAATTGTAATTAAGTTTCAATTTATATTGATTGAGTTCCAAAAAAATTTTTGGAAGATATAATTTTCGTATAGTAAATTTTTGTAGATGCAGATTGATATATCAAATTAACGTCACCAGTCATTCAACAAATTTTTTTCCAACCATTTCATGTAACCTACCAGTCTAGCCAATATTGTTTTGTTTCAATAGTTTTATAATATCATTATACAATAAATCATATCAGGTTTCCTCTTTCTTAATTGCAGGTAAAGCCAATTTGTTAGCATTTTCCATTAATATGGTAAATGCATTTGTTCCTGATATATTGTTTGTACTTTGTGTATTATCAAGTCTTTGTGAAATTTCTTCCAGTTGTATGACAAACTTAATATGTGTAAAGCCAAGTGTTGTCAATAAACTAAGTTCGTCTTGTAAGCCATCTTGAACAAAGTTCCATTTTAAGTCACCTTTTCCAACAAATACATGAACTTCACGAAACCTAAATACAGGTTGAATGAGATTTTTATAAAGATCGTTAAAGGTTAAAGTTTGCTTTTCTAAAGAAAGAGAAGTATCTTTAACTATTCTAGAGCTAATTAGAACTTTGCGCTCTTCTTTAACTTGAACTACAAAATGTGAAATTTCAAATAAAATAAGGTTTGAAATATACTTGCATTAAGTTTACATATCTGCAATCGTTGCATTTTTGTTAAATATTTCCCATGATTTGTATTAACTTATGAATAATTTTAAAAAACTTGGAAAATATTTAATATTTGAACATTTTAAAGTTGTAATATGAGAAAGTTATTTAACTTAATAATGTAACTAGGAAGATTTTAATATATATCACGTGATTTAATATATGTTGTTAAACTATATTTCGAAACTAATATAGAAGGAGGGGATTGATGTTAAACAGATGATTTACTTGGTTTGGCCTAATCAATTAGTATTTTATTTATTTATATTAGTAAATTTAGTATAAATAGAATAGCTACAGTATCTGAATATTATTAATATCATTATAAGTTATAGTAGAAGTACAATAAAACATAGTAGTTTAGAAGGATTAATTAAAACAATTTTATAAACAATTAGAATTTAATTAGTTTTTATCACCAACAAAATAAATACTAATAATAGTTATATGCTAACAAATATAATTGTATTGAATTCTTTATTCTTTAATAAAATTCTAAAAGTTTATCCTAAATATATATTGTCGTTTGAAGTAATAATTATTTGTAAATTCTTCAAAGCTCTCTCTAAAACATTGATTAAAGCTAAATCCCTTTATTAATCTTGCATTAATACTAATTTTTAGTTATTAGTATTGTAAGTTAATAATTTGATACAAGTTGGGTAGATTAAAACTAGTCTAATAAATTATACATATGCAAAAGACACTTAGACAATTGAAAGTAACTGTAGGGTCTATTCTTTTTTAATACAAATCATTGGAGAGCGAAAAAGTCATTTCAATTAATTATCTTAAATATCTACAAAGTAATATTGATAATCTAAAATATTTTATCAAATTTTATAAAGTTAAGGTTATGTGAGATGAATTAATATCCAGTGATGATTACTTTGACAATGAACCTCAATAAATCTGAAGGAATCTAACACTGACTACATCACTAAAGAGTAATACTTACAAATTGTTTAACAACATATAGCAACGCATAAGAAACTTAAAAATTATAAGATCTTATTTATTACCTATTTAGATCAATCCTGTCTATAGTGCCACTCAGATTACGAAACTCAATTAGGAAAATTACCATCTTTTGATAATTATTGGTTCCTGTAGATTGCACCTAAATATAATGCTATATTATATACTACTTTTACTGTAGCATATTTTATAAGGGTCTAAGAGAGTGAATCTAGCTTTTTAGAAAGAGATTACTTATTAAAATATTTATTGAGAAAAATTATTACTATAATTAGATATAAGAATAATATATTAAAGAAATCCTTTGATAGCATTGTCAAAAAATTATATCATATCTGGATAAAAATAAAGCAATTCCAATCATGAGAAACTGAAAGCATCAGCAGTACTAGCTCTATTATAAATAATAATTGTAGTGATATTTCAGAAAGTATGAAAAGGGACCAAAATGATACTATCATAGTATTTTTTTAAAGAAGTAACAAAAGTTCTTCAGGGATAATGCTACTAATAGCAATGAATAGATACCATCAAGAGCTATGATATCTATATCCTAATCACTAACTAATCAATTATCTTATAATAGTATACAACTGTGACAATTATATTTAAGAGATAAAAGGTAGTATGATAAAGAAGAAAATGATACATATACTCTTAATTATGAGCGAGATGTCATATACAGATATATTAATAATAATGATAAAATATTGCAAAAAACGTTCTTCTTTGATAATGCAAATGAACTAGAAAAGAAGAAACACTAAGTAGAATACCTTGAAGAGTCACATTTAATACAAATAATGATAGAAGATCTCTATCTCCTGTTATAGTAAAAATGTCTAACAACTAATAACTATAATTGTACATAATAACCAATCGTTAAAATCATCAAACTCAAGAATGATAACTTTATTAGTAAGAAATATAAATGGTAGACTAATATTAGGAAATTCTTTTGTACCTAACAATACCTATAACTTTTCTCAAACAACTCAATATAGCTATGTATTTGATCCTTTTGCATCACTTGATTCTTGCTAAAAGTAGTAACCCATTTATAACCTCTAGTTTACAACTGCAAATTGGCAGCCAATAGGTAATCAATAGTTTGAAAGTAATCAAAATAATAGCGAAAATAGTATGGAATATCAAAATATAGTCATAAAAGGAATCTCACAGGTAATAATAGTAGTTTAACCATATAATACATAACCATCATTAAATTCTATGAGAGGTAATTCTCGACTAACTAATATTATAACTTCTCAGTTAATACATAGTAGATTGCCATTGACCAATATAAATATCTCTTAACTAATACTTATATCCCAATCAGTTATAGTACTAGTAAGGAGAAATAATAATAATGCTTACCTTTAAGTCATACAAGGTTTAGCAGGATGACTCTAAGGACAATAAATAAAAGAGCAACAGTTAGTAGATTTACTAACATTTAAAAAAGGAAACCAGAATCTAGTAAAATGGCTTGAGGCTTTTGAATAAACCTGTAAAGCAAACTGTATCAATACTACTTGAATGATTGAGATAGTCCCTAATTATTTAACAGGAATAGCATTAATATAGTTTCAACAATAATATATTACTAACTGAAATAGTAGAATTAATCCTAATACTTCCTTTATATCATTATTTGAACATCATTTCTGTAATGCATTTCAACAAAATCAATGAAAGCATTAACTTAGACATAGAAAATAGAAATCAGGTGAAACCATTAAGAAATATGCTGCAGCAATAGAAGAATTATGAAAGAGGTTAACCTATAATATAGGCGAGCTAAAATGAATAGAATAGCTGAATTTATGGAAGGACTACAACTAGAATTTATAATACTAGTATAAACAGCAATGCCAACAATGATAGACCAAATAATTAAAAAGGCTAAAGCAATAGAATCTGCATATTCCATTAGAATAGAACTATCTGTTTATTTGTTAATACTCAATTATATGCAATTATTACAAAGAGGAATAGTACTAGCTTATACAAATATAGTAATGCAATTCACATATATTATATAGTAACTAGATATTAAAAGTATTATTAATCGTAAACTGAATTAAGAATTACAAGTGATTATGATAAATATTGAGCAACAATAGCAACAACAGTAGCAATAATAATAATGATCACGTGAATGGTTTAACTTAAAAATCTAAATACTAGTCTAAAGATTGTAGAAATAATTGACGTATAAATAATATGAATAATCAGTCAAATATTGAATGTTTTAACTGCAAAAAATTTGGCCATTTTGTCAGGAATTGTAGAAGTCTAAATAACAATTGAGGATAAAATTTTCAAAATAATAATAATAATAACAGAAATTATAACCACAGTAATAGTAGGAATCAGAATTATAGAAATAATAATAACAATAATAATAATAATAATAATAGTGATAATAATAACTAATAGTATTTAAACTAGAAGTCGCACCTCTTAGGAGTAAATGTGTGAATAAATCAAAACTTTTAAAAGTGAAGGCAGAGGAAGAATCAAAAGAAATTACTTAAAGTAAGATAAAAATAAAAGCAAGTTTAATAGAAGTATCTTACGTGTGCAGAGGAATGAATTCAAAAATATGATTAAGAGGATTATATGAAAACAAATATGATCACTCTAATTGCAAAGTGTATGATTATTATAGTGTGCAAACCAGAGTTTAGTATATTCTGGTTAATTATTCATTATAAAAAAAAATTACAGATTTTTTAAAAAAAACCTTAAAATTATCTGGCATATTTTTATATTTTTGAACTTTATATAAATTTAAATTTTTAATATTGTATTCAAATTTAAATCTTTATTTGATAATATATAATAAAAATCTAACAAAAAAAAACTATTTTAAACTTTTCTTTTACGCATCTTTAATCAAATTATAAGTGCTTGATTAAAATCAAAATCCTGTATTTGTATATCATCCAAACTAATTAATAATAGTAAATGAAGAGTATTATTATTAAGCTTATTATGAAGATCTGGTTTAATGATATTTTATTTGAAAAATTCACATTCACATTCTATAATAGAAAAAGGAATACTATAAATGATTTCTATAAGTTTTATTATATTAGAATAAGCAGTTGAATAATTTTCAAATAAATAAAAAAAAAATTCTTCAATATTAAAATTTTGATAATTTCGATAAACAATTTCCTTAAGAAAATACTATTCATTTCTTATATTTTCAGAATCAATTATCAGAATAGAATAATTTGATAAATAAGATTTTTCATAAAATCTAATCAATTTTTCCAATTCTACATCTTCAAATTTTAACAACTTTTCTTTATTTCTTACCCATTCTTTTAGATTAAGTATTTGCATTACATTCAATAATGGATGATCCAGAAATTTCTTTTGAATCTCCAAAATAACTGAAGAAACAAATCTAAAAATATCTGCCATTAATTCATTTTCACAATTTTCAGTTAATATTAGTTAATATGTATTCATAAATGATGAAGATAATGATAGAATTTGCTAAATAAATTGGTTTAAATTAAATCCTAATTTTAAATTTTCCTCATCATTTTGCTCTAAATATTCATACTGTATTCTTTGAATTGTCGCATTAATTGTTGTATCTATATCAGAAAACTAAATATATTTTTCTTGAAATATTTTGCTAAGTTTAGCAATATATTCCAAAATATCATATAAGAAGTGAAAAAATGCTAAAAGTTTCCAATTACATAATTCCTCATAAAGTGCCATAATTGAATCTCTTTTTTGTGCATTTGTAACCTTCATAGCAGTTGAAACTAATGTATCTAATAATGGCTCAAAAGTTATATATAAATTTTTTATAGCCTCAAAATATGAAAGCCATTGAATATCAAAAATTTTATGAATTTTAATTTCTGGCTTATCAAAAATTCTTGATAATCACATAATATATCTATTCTTTTACTTGATTTGCTAAAAAACTTGTAATATCTTTTTATTATTTGTTTAACCTTTTTGCAAAAATCAACTTGTCTATAAGTATTTTCAGATGCTAATGATAATTTATATGCAATACAGTGAGTAATAAAAGATATGTATTATTTTTTGCAATTCTAGCAGCTATACCATTATTTTCTCTCATAATTACACTTACACCATCTAATGCAAATGACATAATTTTGTTGGTTAAATCTAAATTTTTATATAAATGTTTACATTAGTATATTATATAAATAAAATTTAATAAATAATAAATTTAACTTTAACTTATGTTTTTTATCAAACAATGCAATCACTGCATTATATATTGTTTGTGCATCAGTACTTTCTAATTGTAATAGTTTTAAATATCATACTTTTATCATCCAATGTAAATAATATTTAACATATAATATGACATGTGATTCAGTTGCAATATCAGTACTTTCATTTAACATTATTCTAAAAGCTGAACAAGTTACTAAATCTTGCCAAATTTTATCTTCAATTATTTGAACAAGAGCATCCAACATTTCAAGACTAGTAGTATAAATATTATACATTGAACTATTATCATTACTAGTTTCAATATATAGCATTCTGATAAAATATGAAAAATCAATAAAACTTTTAAGTTTATGTAAAGGAAGATTCTTAGATGCCAACCAAAAAATCATTTTTATTACTTGAATTATATGTTAATGAGCTTTATTAATAGCATTACTTATAACAGTTTTCATTGCCTTTTTTTTGACCTTTTAATTGAAAAGCCTTCTCATATTGCTTAATACTAGCATATTCAAATAGTGTATTAATTTTAAAATTTTTTGACCCTATACATTAAATGAAAATAATTAATAAATTTTTAATAAAGTGCCAAAAAATACATATGTAATAAAAGTTAAAAATACCTTTATTTGCTTTAGCAAATTCATTTTTTTGACCATGAGTCATACATAGCATACAAAATATTCTATTCTTATTTATATCATAAAATATCCAAGGATATTGATCCTTTCAAGAAAAAAGGTATGTATTTTGTTTTTTTCTTAAAACCTAACTTTTTTTTAGAAGTATAGTCAACTCTTAATATAATGAACTCTTGATATAACGAATTTTTTGAACAAATATAATAAAAATACTCTTGTTATAGCGAATTAGCTAATTAAATCTCTTAAAATCTTCACTATAGCCTTATAGTGAAGTTGAGGTCTAGGACATAGAGTTCATTATAATAAGAGTTGACTGTATTAACATGATAAGGTAAAATAGGAGCTTTGGCTTTTTGTTTATTATTTTTAGGTGGAGAAATTACATATTTTTCAGAACCTTCATTACTAGAATTATTCGTTTCAGCTGAACTTTGTTCTAAATTATTATCAGAGATATCGCTAAAAAATTTAAAATAAAGTTAAATTAAATTAATCAAAATAAAGTAAATTTTAATTATACATTTAAAATTTAAACTAAATATTTACTATTCAACTTCAAAAATTGAATTTCTTTCATTTTTGTCAAAAACAAACTGTCTTTTATCTTCGATCTTTATAAAAAAATGTAATAAAGACATTGATGTATAAGAAGAAAAGCCACTTGATTATCAAGTAATACAAATTATGAATTTACATATAATCTGGCCTGTAAAAAAAATTCTAGCCTATAATAATCTAAATAAATTTAAATTTTCTGGTTTTAGATAAATATCTGGCTTTATGACAAAATTTCAGATTTTAAAATAAAAATTCAGAAAATCTAGAATTTTTATATTGTAGTTTAAATTCTGTTCATGAATATTATTATTGAATACTTTTTTCTAAATACTACATTTCACCTTCAACCCTGCGATCAGAGAATCATCAATAGTTTTAAAGTAAGAAATAAACTTTATTTATTTACTGTAATTGTTTTAAATTTAACATTAATTTTTTTTATTTTAGGTATAATATAGAAAGTTGTATTTGCATAATTGAGTTAAAGCTTTTGATAATTTCAATGAATATGACACTAAACTTAAGAAAATTGATGTTAAAAAATGTATCAAATATGTTGCACATGCGTGAGATAATGTTACAAATACTATAATCAAAATTGTTGATTAAAGATAGGTATTATGCCTAAATATGGTGAGTTAAGTGATGATGAAAGTATCAACTATGAAGATCATAAAATAATATTAATATACAACTTAAACTTGAACACCTAAGGGAGTTGAAAGAAATTCAAGTTTTGATAGATAAATTTGATTTTAATGATCCTTTTACAGCTGAAGAATTTGTTCTTTATGATGATTTTGAGATAATAACGGAAATAATTTCTGATGAAGAAATTTTAAAAACAATTCAACCTAATAATCAAAAAAAAAAGAAATTGAAGAAGAACCTTTGTCAACAATAACTCATAATAAAATTATTGAATGTTATGATAAAGTAATCTTATATTTATATTAGAAAAAAAAATTATGGTTTAAATAATAAGAATATTAAGTTTATAAAAAAAATAAAAAAAGAAGCTTGATGTATTAAATATTTTAAGAGTATATATAATATCAAATATTACTTTTATATTTTATATTTGAATTATAGTGCGTTTACTAAAAGGGTAATATAGTACATAAAATAATATAATATAAGTAAATCTCAAGTAATTTGCAATTATATTTAATTATGCAATCATAATTTTTACAATTGAATTTATATAAGTATAAAGTTATACATATTTATGCATGAGATACATTAGTCTGATTTTTATTATTAATAATTAGTATTATCAGTATAATTGGTATGTTTAAATATCAGGATTTGATAAAATTATTATTAATTTATATTTATATTATAGGAGTGATACAATTTATTTTTCTTAATTAAGTTGATTTAATTTAAATCATTGATCTTTAAAATGATTAATTAAATTTTTACAATTACATTAAATATCATTGTATTTCATATCAATTTTAAAAACTCATCACTCTCAAAAATGAAAAAGAAATTTACCAAACTACTAGCATTAAATGGCTATTAAATAAATAATTAAATAAAAATTTTATTTGCCAAATTTTACCATTATTATAATACCTGAGTATAAAGTTTCTTATATTGTACCTTTAAATTTTGTTAAAAAATTATAATAGATTATTCAGTATAATATAGTTATATATTATACTAAAGAATTTGATGATTTGTTATAGTACAGTCAACTCTTGTTATAGCGAACTCTTGATATAATGAATTTTTTGAACAAATATAATAAAAATACTCTCGTTATAGCGAATTGGCCAATCAAATCTCTTAAAATCTTCACTATAGCCTTATAGCGAAGTTGAGGTCTAGGACATAG